GATGAGGTCTCGCCAAGTTGCCCAGGCGGGTCTTGAACCTGCAGGCTCAGGCAATCCACTCACCTCGGCCTCCCAAAGTACTGGGGTTACGGGCTGAGCCGCCAAGCCCGGTCAAAAAGCTTACTTTAAAAGAAAAAAGTCAGCGGGATGCAGTGGCTCACATCTGTAATCCCAGCTACTTGGGAAACTGAGGTGGGAGGATGGCTTGAGGCCACGAGCTGGAGACCAAACTGGGCAACATAGAGACTGAAACTGCCCACCACCACCCCAAAACCCCACCAAAAAAAAGGGGGGGAGTAGGTACAGAGGTAATGGTCCCTGCTAAGGATTTGAATGTGAGGGGTGATGAGGGCTGCTGCAGGTCATCCAAGAGTCTCTGAGGTAAATTCTTTTTTTTAATTTGTTTTTTTTCAGTTAGAGTCTCACTCTGTTACCCAGGCTGGAATGCAGTGGCACATTCATGGCCACTGCAGCCTCCACCTGCTGAGCTCAGGTGATCCTTCTGCCTCAGCCTTCCAAGTAGCTGGAACTACACGCATACACTACCACACCCGGCTAATTTTTTTATTTATTGTAGAGACGAGGTCTTGCCAAGTTGCCCAGGCTGGTCTTGAACCCCTGAGTTCAGGCAATCCTCTCGCCTCCACCTCCCAAAGTGCTGGGATTACAGGCGTGAGCCACTGTGCCCGGTCATGATGTAAATTCAACACAGAACTAGCCTCTTAACAACTGAGGGAAGGCTGCTGCCTTAGGAAATGAGTTCTAAGTACCTGCATTATGAGGGACTAGGTGATCCCTAAGATCTTTTCCTCAACAGCCATCACCAGCCTATGAACCTCCTGCCCCTGCTCCATTGCCTCCACCCTCAGCTCCCTCCTTGCAGCCCTCGAGAAAGCTCAGCCCCACAGAACCCAAGAACTATGGCTCCTACAGCACTCAGGTAATGGGGGTGTGCGGATGGGGGCTAGGAAGCGGGGCCAGTCTTGGGGTCCAGGGCTTACATCTCCCTCTGCTTATATGGGGCAGGCCTCAGCTGCAGCAGCCACGGCTGAACTGCTAAAGAAACAAGAGGAGCTCAACCGGAAGGCCGAGGAGTTGGACCGACGGGAACGAGAGCTGCAGCATGCTGCCCTGGGGGGTACCACTAGTAAGTGGGTCCTTGATAGGGTGGGGAAGAGCATCTGACAGCTTGGGAGAAGCAAAAAAAAAAAAAAAACTTAAGAAAGGTTGGACACGGTGGCTCATACCTGTAATCCCAGCACTTTGGAAGACCAAGGCAGGAGGATTGCTTGAGCCCAGGAACTCCAGACTAGCCTGGGCAACATAGTGAGACCTCATCTCTACAAAATAGTAGTAATAATAATAATAATAATAATTAGCCTGAGCTGGGCATGGTGATTCATACCTGTAAACCCAGCACTTTGGGAGGCAGAGGCTAGAGGATTGTTCAAATCTAAGGGTTTGAGCCCAGCCTGGGCAACTTGGCAAGATATCATATCTACAAGTCGTCAAAAAATTAGCTGGGGGTGGTGGTGCACACCTGTAGTTCCAGCTACTTGGAAGGCTGAGGCAGAAGGATCCCCTGAGCCCAACAGGTCGAGGCTGCGGTGGCCATGTGTGTGCCACTGCACTCCAGCCTAGGGAAGAGTGAGACTCTGACTCAAAAAAAAAAAAAAAAGAAAGCATGGGTTCTGGCATGAGACTGGGTTGAATTTTGGAGATATTGTTCACTAACCATGAGCTTTTAGGCAAGTTACTTAATCTTGATTGCCTTGCTTTCATTATTTATAAAATGAAAATAGTGTTTATATCTGTTTGACAGGATTGTCGTGACAGTTAAGATCATAAATGCTTTGGGAAGCCAATGCAGGAGGATCAGTTGAGCTCAGGAGTTTGAGACCAGTCTGGGCAACATATCAAACCCTGTCTCTACAGAAAATTTTTTTAAAGCGTTAACCAAATGTTTTATAGTCCTAGTTACTTGGGAGGCTGAGGTAGGAGGATCACTCTAGTCCAGGAGTTTGAGGCTTCAGCAAGCTATGATTTGAGCCACTGCACTTTATCTTGGGTTACAAAGCAAGACCTTGTCTTAAATGAATAAATACATGCTTGTTATTGCTATTATTTTTTCCATTCTCAATTGTCTCTCCTGGGACCCCAACTTGGAGATAAGAGAGAGGACTCAGTGATAGAGAGGAGGGGGAGTGGTTTTTTGTTGGTCTCTGCCTCATTTCTGGGTCCTTCTGCTCTCTCTTTCCGTCTTACAGCTCGACAGAACAATTGGCCTCCTCTACCTTCTTTTTGCCCAGTTCAGCCCTGCTTTTTCCAGGACATCTCCATGGAGATCCCCCAAGAATTCCAGAAGACGGTATCCACCATGTATTACCTCTGGATGTGTGAGTAGTTAGAGGCCTTTGGAGGAAGTTACAGGTAGACTCTTCACCCAGGGTCCAGTCTAGAATCAGACACTTCACTACTCCTTGACATTTAAGTTTAAAGCCAGTTTGTCCAGGAATCTTCCTGGATCCTTTTTTACAGTATTTGGAATTCTGCAGCCTGCTAGCAAGTGTGTGTTTTTGGCCTCTCCCCATTCTCCTTTGTCCCCATGTAGAAATATATTTTGAGGCCAGGCCCGGTGGCTCAGCCTGTAATCCCAGCACTTTGGGAGGCTGAGGTGAGTGGATTGCCTGATCCCGCGGGTTCGAGACCCGGCTGGGCAACTTGGCGAGACTTCATCTCTACAATAAAAAAGAAAAAAAAAGAAAAGAAATCCGGCGATCCTTCCGCCTCAGCCTTCCAAGTAGCTGGAACTACAGGCGCATGCACCACACCCAGCTCATTTTTGATTTATTGTAGAGATGAGGTCTTGCCAAGTTGCCCGGGCGGGTCTCAAACCCGCGGGCAGTCCACTCACCTCGGCCTCCCAAAGCACTGGTATTACAGGCTGAGCCACCAAGCCCGGCTCAA